GTTAATCCTGACAGACTGCCTTCCAGTGAAAATCCAGTTTCTCCTTGTAAATATTAACTGATGGGGCTGATAACACTTGTTCGGGTAAGGCGTTCTAATCATTGACTACTCGAAAGGAAGCGTCCCTCTGTATGCAGACTACTCTACCGGATTAAATGAAGCTCTAGAGTCTCACCAGTATCCGTTACCCTTACCGGAAGATCTTTTCGCTAAGCCGAACTGTGGCAGGTTTTTTGTGAAATTGGACTAATCAGTATCGGTGAAAGCAAAGATCTTCTGACGATCAACACACACAAACGTATGTTCCGGCATAACCGACTACCTTTTGGGGTGAAGACGGTGCCCTCGCTTTTCCAGCAAATTATGAGTACCATGTTACAAAGCATTCCAGGGGCAGCAGCTTATCTAGACAACATCATATTTATGGCAGCAGACAAAATGGACCTGCAGAAGAAACTGGGCCAGGTACTAGAACGCATAGCCGATTATGGTTTTCGCCTCCGAGCGGGAAAGTGTTACTTCTATGTGCAGCAACTACGGCACCTTGTGTTCATAATAGATAAAGACGAAAGACGACTAGACCCAGAGAACATTGAAGCTGTTAGAACAATGCCTAGACCCAGGGACATTACTACCCTACGATCGTTCTTAAGATTGGTCAGCCATTATGGTGCCCTCCTCCCCGATCTCCATCGTCTACGTGCTCCAATAAACCACCTACTGAAAAAGAATAAAAGTAAGAATTGGTCTACGGACTGTCAAGAATCTTTCGAGAAAATCAAGCAACTCCTAACATCCAATCTCTTGTGACACATTATGATCCTTCTCTACCGATAGTCGTTGCTTCAGATGCTTCTAACTATGGTGTGGGCTCAGTCATCTCTCACATTTTTCCTAATGAACCTGAGAAAGCTATCCCCCACGTTGCCAGATCTCAGACAACGACCGAAAGGAACTATAGTCAAATTGGGAAATAAGCCTTATCAATTATCTTTGCAGTGAAAAAGTTCCATAAGATGATATATGGTCGACATTTCACCCTAATAACAGACCGTAAGACACCACTTTCAGTTTTCGGGTCAAAGAAAGGAATTCCTTCTCATACAGCTAAACGACTCCAACGATGGGCAACCTTCTGGGTTACGACTTCAAGATCAAGTATCAGTCTACTACCGCCTTCGGGCAAGCTGATGCATTGTCAAGATTAATAAGCTTCCAATCAAAGACCCCAGAGGAGACTCTTGTAGCGAATATAAAAGCTGAGAAAGAAGTTCATCGTGTATTAGATGACGCAATTAATGGACTCCCAGTAACCTTTGAAACTATCAAGATCACTGAAAATTATAAGATATTGAGCACGGTTACATGCTATCTCTCGATCAACTGACCAAACAATCGCCTTGACGGAGAACTTCTGCAATATTTTGGTCGATGAGACTCACTAATGGTTGTCGACTCGTGTAATATGTTCGGTGATCGAATTGTTATTCCGAAGTTATTACGTCTAAAAGTTCTCAAGCAGTTTCACAGTGGCCATCCTGGAATCAATAAAATGAAATCGTTGGCTCGTAGTTATGCTTATTGGCCTTCAATGGACAAAGATATCGAGAATAAATGCCGTAACTGTCCACCATGCATTCAATCTGCTAAAAATCCTTTGAAATGCGAACCTCAGTATTGACCAATGCCTGCAGGAACCTGGGTAAGACTTCACGAATATTCTGCTGATCCAATCCAAGAAAAAATGTTTCTAATTATCGTAGATGCATTTACCAAGTGGTCAGAAGTACATGCCATGCCCAATTGTATAACATCAGAAACAACCCACAATTTGTCTACCTTGTTTAGCTGCTTCGGAGTTCCAGAGACCTTAGTAACTGATAATGGCTTGCAACTCATCACATAATCGTTTAAGTATTTCTGCAGTGCAAATCGAATAACTCATCTTCGTTCTCCGCCCTATCATCCGCAATCGAACGGCCAAGCAGAAAGCTTTGTGCACACCTTTAAACGAGCAATAACGAGAGGGGAAGCGAAGGGACAACTGGACAAGTAATCACAAAATTTTTAACATCCTACAGAATCACTCCGAACCCAAATGTTCTAGATGGTAAGTCTCCTGCTGAAGCCATGTTCGGAAGGCGTATTCGGACAGTTTTCAAGGCCATGTTGCCATCCAAATTAGTGGATGGGCACAATCACAATCCAAATATCCGGAGCTTTAATGTTGGCGACGAAGTTCTCATTAAACCCTACATTCGGAAGAACCAATGGGAGCTCGGAAAAGCTGTACAAAAACTGGTAAAAGTTCTGTACGAATCAAATCCATAAGGACAAAAGAACGATGCAGACTCGAAATCACCGGCCGAATTTCCCGTTAATCATAGACACACCAACGCTACATCTGCCCAAGGATACTGATAAGAAGCCTCGGACAAGGAATACGTCAAGAATAATGGGACGCCGCCGCAACCTAGTTGTCAAACTACAAGTAGATCCTAGAAAGAAACCTTATTCGGGAGACGTGTTAAGTTGGCTTTCGGAGAACTTCAACGGAGCCTCCAGAGGCCCAAAAGGAGCCGAAGAGTCCTAGTCAATCAGGGCACGATGGGGCACTCTAGAATTCCAACGTGGCGTGCTACTGTTGGCAAGTAGTATAATATGCCTTTTAGCGGATTGGCAAATGTTATCATTTATAAATTCTCGTGTTTTACTGTACTTTAATGATGCTTTAGAATAATGTGCTTTTCGCTTATTTTCCGACTTTTCTCTCGAGTTCAAGTCGCTGCGAATTTCTAGCTAGCTTGTTACCAGAATAGCTTAGTAACTGAATAAGGCGTTCAAATTAACAATACTTATCAGTGGCGATGGAAAAACTACAATAAATATTTCTTCGAAGCACCTAGAATCTTATATGGAGCGTCGACCGTATATATTTAAAGTCCTAAATCAGAATCAAGCAAGCCTTGATGCAGTAATTTAGCCTGTCTCAGAAAGACACTGCTTTTTTGAATCATAAATATCTCATACTGATTCATGTTTTAATGCCATTCCTGGATTTCATTTTGACGGTGCAGCAGGTGTAACTTTTGATTTTTGGTTTAAGAAATATGAAGATCTGTTCTATTTTGATCTCTGCAGAGTTGATAACCCCTCAAAAGTCAGAATACTTCTAAGAAAACTTGAGACTATGGTACATGAACGTTATAGTAACTTCATTATCTCGAAGAACCCACGAGACTTTAGTTTTGATGAAACAGTCAAAACCTTGTCTCAGATCTTTGGAGAACAGTCATCCCTATTTAATATCCGTTATCAATGCTTGCAAATAACGTAAGAACCAGATGATTGGGTGAAGCATGCAGGGATTGTGGACCGAGAGTGTGAGAGGTTCAAGTTGTCTTCCATGCCTGAAGACCAGTTTAAATCCCTAGTATTTGTCTGTAGCTTGCGTTCACCATAAGATGCTGACATCCCAACACGAATCCTCAGCAAGCTCGAACACTGCCCCAACATGACCCTGCTGGAAGTAACTACCAAGTGCCAAATGTTAGTGAATTTGAAGTACGATACCTCGATGGTAGAGAAAGGTACCCGATTCCCTAACTTCAATGCAGTCGAGAGAAAAGTCTCAAAAAGTTCCAGCACGCAGAATTATCGTAATGACAGCGACAACCATCATCTCCATGCTGGTCTTAAGGAGGTTGACACCATAAGAGGTTCTGCCCCTATAGAGAAAATTGTTGCAGGAAGTCTTCAGTCTTCAGTAATAAGGATAGTAGGTTGGTGAACCTGTGTTAATCCTGACAGACTGCCTTCCAGTGAAAATCCAGTTTCTCCTTGTAAATATTAACTGATGGGGCTGATAACACTTGTTCGGGTAAGGCGTTCTAATCATTGACTACTCGAAAGGAAGCGTCCCTCTGTATGCAGACTACTCTACCGGATTAAATGAAGCTCTAGAGTCTCACCAGTATCCGTTACCCTTACCGGAAGATCTTTTCGCTAAGCCGAACTGTGGCAGGTTTTTTGTGAAATTGGACTAATCAGTATCGGTGAAAGCAAAGATCTTCTGACGATCAACACACACAAACGTATGTTCTGGCATAACCGACTACCTTTTGGAGTTCAGGTCGCTGCGTATTTCTAGCTAGCTTGTTAGCAGAATAGCTTAGTAACTGAATAAAGCGTTCAAATTAACAAGGCTTACCAAACACCTCACAAACTCGGAATACATACATGTTTACGAATTTCCGCACAACACATCAACTCACTCGCATTCCATGTGCAACCACCCTACCATTACATCTATTCAATTATAGTAATAATAATGATAATAGTAGTCAATCTACATTAAATAATGTTCCGTGTGGTCGACAATCACTAGTAGGTAAGTGGTCATCCCATGTGTGAACACCGCACAAAATCGGAATATAAACACGTTTACAAATTCCTGCACAACGCATAACCGACTGTTTCGCATAGCATGTATACACTCATTTTCCCTACGTCTCCGTCTTCGTGTTTTTTTTAATCTTTTCTTTTTTCTTTTTTAATGTACTATATTGGTTATTCTTCTTTCCTTCTGTGCAACTGTTTTCTTTTTGGTTTATATGTCTTAGATATTAGATACTTCTAAATATTTTTGGTTCATCCATCTACCACATTTTACCGTTATTCAACCATAATTTATTACTAATGACCAAAAGTGAAATGTGACGCAAACGGCACAGTAGCCATGTCAAAATATACAGAATAATTTCAGGTCATATCATCATTAACCTGAAGATCCAAGCATATATATATATAATATTATATATATATATATATATATATATATATATATATATATATATATATATATATATATATATATATATATATATATATATACATGATGTGTATTGATATTCCTTCACAGATTTTCAGGCTCTACTTCAATGATAGACAAAATAACTCGTTAGAATAGGCAATGATTTTCGGCAATAATAAAAGAAATTAGATATCAGAAGTAATATATTTTAAACTCTGATAATAAAATCAACACTGACCGACAGAAAAATGATGATACAATATCTGATGGTGACATCAGAACTGAAAAGAAATACAAAAATATATATATGACAAACCAATGGATCTTCAATTAAAATCTGTTCAAATCATCAGCAGTTAATTCAGGAATTTCTATTTCTAATATTAAAACAGAATTAGAATAAATGTTAAATAAATCATAATGTAAATGATTAAAACGCTTACAGTATATGATGTTTATTGCATCAAATTTTAATATTCCATCAAATAAACAATAGAGATAAACTATACATAAATAAATAATAACAATAACTAGACGTAATCCAAGACAAACACTATCTAATGTAATGCTTGTCCCAATTAATGTAATTCAATTTTCTAGTATTTCTTCGTTATATCTTTCGGTTCGTATAAAATTGAAGGCACAGTATTCAAGTCAATTTGTGATCAACGATTGCATCTAAATGGACTTTATTTACCATCCTATATGAAAGAGGTTAACCGATTGTGTACCTAGAAGCCAATAGAAATATTTTTACCAATATTTATATGCATATGTGCTTATCGCCTCACCATAAACAGTTATAAAACGATTGAATGTCATAATTTCCATTATGTCTGTCAATAAAACAATAACGTAAGAAAAGATCCATAAATAAACTGTACACCCAACATGACCATTTAACAAAACACTTTTACAGTTGGTTTCTGATGAATTCGCTATATCATCTGCTCTTGAAACTCACATTAACAGAATAAGTTATAGCTGAAGAGAAAGCCTAAATAAATTTCTATCTTTAAAGATCCAATGTATATTACGATATTTTGATGTAATAAGAGCAACGATCACACAAAACCTGAGGTATAAAAATGAGAGGACAATAGGTGAAGATAATCAATTATCTACAAGTTATGATAATAAACTTTCTCGTCAATTGCAAAAGAACAAAAAACATGAAGTTTAACAACTAACCAAAATGTGATTCTAATTCTTTTAACAAGTACATTTCTTCATTCACTATAAAATTGACTGCTATTCCTTCTTTTCCAAAACGACCGGATCTACCGATACGATGTAAATAAGTTTCCCAATCAGCACTACCAGTTCTTGTTGTTGGCATATTCCAATTTATTATTAAATTCACTTGTGGAATATCTAAGCCTTCAAGATAAAAAATTATTCACATTAAAAAAAATCTATAAAAAAAACAAACGAATCAAGTGTGGAAAAGTATAGAATGTAAATAACAAATTGCTAACAAAATAATCACATCTTTTAAATTTGGTAAATCTTATATTTCAATGGTTGAAATCATGAGTCAATTGAAGCTAGACCATCATAGAAAACCTGGAAGTACTGGATGGCCGTTTTCTATGATAGTCTGTTATATCTTGTGGTATGAGTGCCTTGTTAATGTGTAACGTAATAATGCCCCCAATCAGAGAGCAGTGAATTATCGATCGGACCAATGACGTGTAAAACACGTGCGAGCAGCCTAGAGTCCTGATTGGTACTGCTTTCCACCTAGCCCAGCCACTTAAGTCCAGAACACCAGTCCCAGCCTCTGCAATATAAATCATTATATTTCAAACAAACTCGGTTTATATGCCAGTCAAATAGACCAAAAAGTAGCATAAAATAGAAAATAACATTTGTACAAAATTTGGCCAAATGTGGCTGTGAATTTGGGAGGTAGTGATTAATAGACAGGGCATAATTCAAGTATGGTAAATTGTATAATAATAGTTCATCGGTCAAAACAAAGCTTATAATAAGAGGAATATGAATAGTTTAGTTATTTAACAATTATACTATAAAAATATACGTTAAGTATTGGTCCATAAATGGATCCAAAGGTTACCATTCATTATGCTTATCGGGACCTAACATAGTCTAGTTTTAATTGACTCATGATCTCCACCATTAAAATTACTACAATATTCAAAAAATCCCTTCTGATATAAATCTTATATTATATTAGTTAATGTAAACAAAGTAAAGACAAACCAATTAGTATTTTATAAAGAAGTTCAAATGATTGAAGAATCCATTTCTCAATGAAATGATATACAACCAAATAAACTAATAACGTCCTACCTACTAATCTAAAAGAAACGTACGACAAGTTCATCCAGAAGATAACATTAAAACACATCAACAGTTAGTTTGTAAGCAGAATGTTGTTATAAGACAATTGACTAGATTTTTTTTTAAAAGCATGAAATAAACTAATTAGTTCTAGTATCTCCCAATAATTTCGGCATCATATGTATCCTCAGAATTGAAAAACATCTATTACAAAAAGAAGTCGAATATTAATAGTATGTGTTATAGATGATAAACACTTTATAGGAACTATTATTATGTATAAATTGTCATAGCATAATAGACGCTGTTATATCCTAACGAAGAATAGATGAGTCAATTGAGACTGGACCACCATGGAAAACCTGGAAGCACTGGACGGTCGGCTAGTCCTATTGTGAGACTCCCCAGCAGTGCGCACCCACGGCCCCTTCTCGCGGGATTCCAAACCAGGGCCTATCAGTCTCGCGCGAGAGCGCCTGGCCGCTAGACCACTGAGCCGGTATCCAACAGTGTTAATGTCTAACTTCAACTAATTCACGAAATTGAGCGACACATCCACTATTGTGATCCCACAACTGACCCGTTTGAACTCTATTGGTCACTGCTTCTCACTAGAACTCCAGGATATACGTCTTGAAGCCAGTCACTAGTGAGCATATGTTGATTGAAATAAATATATATATATATATATATATATATATATATACTCTTGTATAACTATTAAATGACTAGATTATATGTATTTATATTTCTTTTATTATAAAATTTCATTTGACCTATTGACTACTACTATTATATAATTTCCTATTCTCAAGTTATTCTCAATGTATACAGTCTCTCACACTCACAGCCACTTTTGACATGATCTTGCATGATTGTTATTTTCTATTTTATGGTGTGATGCAGTCTCATTCCTTTGTATATAAACTGTGTACGTCTGTAATATATGATTCGAACAGTGGAAGCTAAGATTGTGTTCTGGACTCAATGGGCAGTACTAGGCGAGAAGAACCAATAAGAACTTAGAGTTGAATCTAGACTGCTCATGCTGACTAACGTGGCATTGATTTAGCACAAGGCTAAGGTCGTATAAGCCGGTACCCTGATTGTCGATCTTATCACGTTATATCGACAGGCCGTTGTTGAGGATGCCAGATCCCCAGAAATCACTTGATAAACGTCTTATTTTTGAAAGTTTACTTTGGAAGTTTGAACTCCTCGTTTTTGCGCCAAAAACATCCACTTTTACTTTCAGATAGTATTTCCCATTAGAAAGGACCCTAAACGTCATTGGTTGGTTGCCTCTTTTAACATGCTATTTTCTGACGTTTCCCAAAAAAACTTTTATGCTGTATGTATACGCTTGAGTTGTGTGCTTGTGGTTGTTCGTGCTTCTATGTGCTGTGGAATATACCTTTCTTCCATCTAAACTGGATCTCATTCCTCTAGTTAGCAGGGTTGGGACGCATCGGAGCAGTTTAGCTTATCTTGTCGTTATGTCGCTGTTCCTTCGATCCCTTCGCCGATTTCAGGTGATCTTGTAATCGCTTCAAACATAGCAACCGTAAGAGCATAACAGAAATTAACACTAAGATAAGAAACAAACCTCGAGAACACACATTAGTTGTAATTAAAACTCGGAAATTTGATGAACGAAAATCTTCAATGACTTTTTCGCGTTGAGAAACATCTAAATCACCGGAAAGTATGTAGACTTTATGACCATCCAAATTCATTTTCCCGTCCAGCCAACTAGCTTCCTGTCGTGTCTAAACAATGGATTAAAAAAATCGGGAGAGGTTCAAGACAAAAAGATCAATTTGTGAAGACTGTGTGTTTGTAGTTTTGTCCTCGAACAATGTGTACAGATATTTATGTACATTCTGAAAAATAAGCACAATATGGGCAATTTGGAAGACTGATTAATTTAACAACTAAGAGTGCATATTTTAAATATGTTCGTAGGAAAGTAGAGCCGAGTGATCTGTAATAAATACGCATCCATGAACACAACTAGTTGAGTACTTAAAGAACAAAGGTGTTAAGAACCAGTAAACAGCTCCTTGACTTTTTTTAACGCTGGTACTTTCGATCACTAGAAGTTGTACACAAGCTTACTAAAACAACTTTTTGAAATCAAGTAACGAACGTTTGGTAGGCACTTTTCAAAAAGGCTATTCATGGTACGATATTTTCCACACAAATTAATTGAGTTACGCTTATATTTCACACCGAGCCAAATACTCAATCGTCAGGTAACTGGAAGTCATTTACTCTATCAAAAGCACAATCAAGGATAAAGTATATACTTGAAATAAGAGAATAAAGATAAAACTACAGGATTTACTATGAATAAAGAAAACAAAATTGCTAAGTCAAGTGTTAGTGTCCAAACAGCAAAAATAAACTAAACATCTCAAATCAGGAGTTAAAAAACCATCCAAGATGAAAAAAGTCCTAAAGAGTTGAGTGCATAAAGAAAATTCAACGAGGACAAAGAGGGAAATTATTACTTTTGATTCTGTTACATTGAACGTCTGAAACGTCGACATTCTGGACAGTGACTTGGTCTCCATAAAAATATGCATTTTGAACCCTCTAAAATGTTTACTTCCACGTCTAGTACAGTTACAGAAACTAAGGGAACATTTTATATGGCCAACAGCGGCGTTGAAACTTCAGAGGCTGCTGAAAGATACTAATATTTATCACAAACTAGAGATTCAACTAGTCAGATTGAGAAATAAAATAACTGGATGGAAGATGCATTAGCGATTAAAATTCTCTTTTCGACAACATCATTTTATGGAGCTGTACAGTCGCATTTATAGACAATTGTCTACATTTAATAGTTTATAAGGAAACAAGAGAGTATTACATCATTATCAACGATGGTCGAATGCATTCGAGTATCGAATGTAAATGTCTATAAACATGATGTGATGTCGTATTTGATAAAGTGATCAAAAATTATCAAAAGATTTCAAGCATTGAATATAACAGTCTAGAAATAGAAGTGTGTTATTTCAAAGTGATCAAAGCTATCAGAAATCTAATATTGAATACGATAGGTATCGCATCATCTTGTAAAACGATCAAACTTTATCAAAGAAATGAAAGTTTCAGAAGTAACAAGAAATGATAATGTTTACAACGGATGCAAAGTACGATTATCAACTTGAAACGGAGAAAGAAAGAGAGATGAGTAAGAAATTAATTACCACTTACGACTGGTGAGATCCAAAGGGGTACTAAGGCCATAAAATAACAAGGGATTGGACAGGATTCTTTTATACGCAGAGGTCAAGTCTGAGGTGGTGAATTGCTGTAGCCCCAGCTGTGCACGAATTCCTAGTCCAAACCTTATTCGAGTCAGTTCTTTCAACATAGTAGATAATCTTGTGTTAACTCTTGTAGTGGCAACTGACCCGAGTTGACCATGTATTCAAGGATTAAGCTATCGATCACTTTACATTCTCCTTAAAATAGCTATACCGGGTAATTTTCAGATATTCCTTTACCAAGTGTACGCATTGTAAAACCAATACAGCCTGCTCTACAAGGGCATGTAAACTGATAAGTAGGTATTAAGAGGCTCCAAAACATCAACTTTCTTGATACTTACCCAAATGACACTTTTACTTAAGAACAAATTCAGAGCTTCGCTAGATGAAATGTCCTCATCAGAGGCCTAGATTGTCTATTTTTTATTATCTCCGCAGACGTATCGCCCTCAAATTCAATGTTCAGGAATAAGACCTTCGGAACTGTGGGGGTACTTTCAACTTGACGTTTTGAATGACCACTGTGAGATCGCTGGAAAAATTGGACAATTACGACACGTGGCACACACATGACATTCATCCACAATTCTGAGGAAAATATCCTACAATTTTTCACTAAAAACAAGAACTAGGCCTTTTGAACGGAAAAAATATACCTGTCTCCCATCGCCTTGAAGTCAACTAATAGACAACAAACTTTCACTAAACGCACGATAGACTCCTAATTCAGATTTTTTGACCGCTGCTAAACTGTCCACTATTGGTTCAGTGTGTTGACCAAACAGTCGTGATGATGCATTTTTCTAACGGGTGATTACTATTATTGTAATTGCTGCTTGTCGCTGTAAACCGAATGCAGTAAATACAAGGAGTAACTTCGCTGATCCAAACACTGGTAGCAATAGTTTACAGTCTGCTAATAACGGAACTGATGCCTAAAGGTCATGCTATGGAACTTTTTTACAGTGAAAATTATAAATACAGGTTGCTGCTTGATCTGCTGCATCATGCACAAATGTATTTTAGACATGTATAGATCAATTTGAATTGACCGAAACAATGTTATTCTTTGAAGCACTACAGTAGGAGTAGATTTATTTTGATGGGTAGTTAAAGTATTGAACAAACAAAATAAAACGTCGAAATACAAATACAAACGGAGATTTGATTCGTTGTGAGTACTAAATAACGCACAACGTAGAAATAATGAAATGTAGTTGAACTACTTGCTATTAGTTAGTAGCCAAAAATCAACAGACGAAATAAGTAAGGTTGGGAAGATGATATAAAAGCCACTCAGGTAAACTATCTCTACATGACATTGAGTAATGAGTAAAATAAGACGGTGGAATACTCTCAATCATAAATTTACGACTTGAAAAAACTTTCAGCTCTCTGAATTAAGCTGTTTAGTTGTTATGTTTACCCAAAAATCATATAAATATGACCAAATATGAAAAAATTGACATTATTGCTTGATTTTCTGAACGATTTGACTTTTCTTTCCAGCTGATTTAACCGTTCCCTAACCCTCCTAAGTGACAGTATTATTAATCTGCGCAGAACACATAACAATCCCAAAGCTTTGATGGACCAGGTTTTTATCATTTACAGTATACATCCGGGTGAGGATCTTCTTCATAGATTAATTTGCTAACTAAGAACGAACCACGATGAATTCAATTATATTCATCAGTTGGATAACGACGTTGATACGATAGTTATGTTTAATCAGCTAAAAATTCAACAAAATATAAAACTTACTGCACAAAATATAATTGCTTGGCCAACTTCAAAACCTCCATATATATCTTTTAGCGCCTGATACTTTTCAATCCAATCATTAAAGCACATGTAAAACTGTTTAATATTCTTCAAAGGAAGTTGTGTACGCTTTACGCGAAACTCTATCGGATTGGGAACAAACTCATGTGCAAAATCAATAATGGAATCCTCATACGTAGCTGAGAACAATAGGATTTGGCAATTTCTAGACAACTTCCTACGGAGTTGGTACAGGTAAGAAATAACATGAAATAACGTATAAAGATCCCCGTCATATTAAAAGACTAGTATTTGAACGATGAATATTCTCTTCGATAAATTCTCTTCAGGTTCTACAATTATATATCCAAATTAATAATCCGAAAAATGGCCAGGTTAAGGGCAAAGTACATCGTTTAGAGCATGTGAATTTAGAATTGTGATAAACAAAATACAATAAAATTATTAATGTTAATATGACTCATATAGAATGTTAACTTGAATCAGCTTACATGTTAAATTTCGATAATGCAATGAGAAAACGTAGTTTATCAGAATTATGTGATATATTTGCGCAATACATTTCGAACAATCTGATCACACATATACTTGTTAAGAACATTTATATATGAAAATTAAAAGGTCAACTAGACAGGTTAAGGGTAAGTCATAACAAAGGAAAAATATTAAAGTACACAAAACCAAACGTGATTACCACTCCGGATAGTAAATCGGTACTACCAGGGTAGGTTACGTGTAAGCACAAATTGTTTTTGAACGCATAAAGGGGGTTTCAATTTTCGTATAGCCAAGGCTTTAATAAACCTTAGTATACGTCCTTGAAGGCATTTGCACAACACAAATGACCCGTCTCAATCAAATGTGTTGCAATGGATGATGGTGTCTGTCTATCCTTTGATCTTATTTGATCGAATTGTAATTGCACTATTATTTCTCTCTCACCCTACTTGACCCATATTTATTCTGATCATGGGTCTTAAAATTTTACTTAACATATAAGCTGATTCAAGTTAACATTCTATATGAGTCATATTAACATTAATAATTTTATTGTATTTTGTTTATCACAATCCTAAATTCACATGCTCTAAACGATGTACTTTGCCCTTAACCTGGCCATTTTTCGGATTATTAATTTGGATATATAATTGTAGAACCTGAAGAGAATTTATCGAAAAGAATATTCATCGTTCAAATACCAGTCTTTTAAATAACGTATACTCTAATAATAACGAAATATTTATATTAAATATTTTATTAACTTAAGTTCAGTTTAGTAATAATTGAATACAAGTCTGACACTATCTATTTACTTTTTGAGTCGTTCTGACTAGGATGGAAACTGGAAAGAATTGGGATTTCTACAAGTATTAAAACATGATTACTTAAACAAAAATGAACTTTAGTGAGTATTCCAAATAGACAAGAACGAAGCTAGTTACTTACAAAAAAAAATGTAAGAAAGATTAGATTTTTGTGGCCCGAGATCTGACTCCAATTAGATTCTATGATTGATTGTTATTGAAATATACATATCGTCTATCCTCGTATAAAATTATCGGCCTGATCCGCTTTAGGGTATAACGGAATTAAATAAGTGAAATAAGAGAACGGAGTTTTGAATACGTATACTTTGTACACTCATCTGGACAGACAATTAGATGAAAGAAGCGAAGAGAGCGAAGCGAAATGACGCGCGGTGGAAATGGAGGGTGAGCCAATTCGACTTAACCGAGAGTTAATCAATATTTATAGTCACACAAAAATAAGCTACATATATGTGATGAGTGGGATAAGATCAGTAGCAGACCAGTCGAAATGTTCCTCGAATAACCCGACCCGTCGTTCAAGACCTTGGTAGATGTTCTTGATTGGTATCTCATAAACTTCATAGATTATTCCGCTCGCAACAGACTTCTTACCGCCAGCGACTTGGATGAGGCGAAAGAGCTTCCAGCAGTCACCAGATGAAGCTGCTGTTTGCAACTCGTCAGTACGCTCCGAAAACTATTTCCCTAGTACCGCACGAATTCTGAGATAGAGTTCAGTCCACGTATTTCCCAGAATAAATACATTTATAAATATTTAATCGGTTTTCAGTCAAGTTAAGGATTTGCTGGTCAATAAAAATATAAGCTAAGCATTTCTCTTTCCGCTGAAATTTAAATTGTTAGTGAATAGTGGCAAGAAACTGGTATCAGTAGCAATCTGAATTGCTAACTACAGTATTGACAATTTTCCAGTCCAAATGTATTACAACAATACATAGTCCTCTTCATGAAAGCACACCTGAAATCCCCGACACAAGGAGACGAATCCTTTAAGTTTAATAAAAAACCCATGAGCGATTAAATTTACCCCGATATTTTAGAAAATCATTCATAATGACGGCTGAAGGTTAAAAACGGGTACACCCATGTTTAGTGAAATATACTTTCAGGGTCAGAGCGACATTTTAATTCTCAAACGCCATTCCAGTTAGCAAATAGTTCACTAATATTGAAAAGTGATAATCAAAAAACGGAAACAACCAACCATAAAGTAAATAATAATCAGTTTATCTTAAAAAGCAGGCATCCAAACCTTCTACTTTAAAAAATGGTTGATTAGAATTATAAAGGAAAGGAAAAACAAAAAATCCTCTAACTTGCTTTTTAACCCGCATGCATATATTGAGAAAACCTTCTTCTTCTATCATTATGTCAGCTTCATCTAATACAAACATAACAACTTTGGATGGATCAATACGATACTCTCCTGTACCACGAAACCAATTCGCGATTGTACCCGGAGTACCAATAACAATCTGATCAGTTACGTACCCATTCGAATCGACTTTGACTAAAACATGGATTTTCAAAATTAAAAACCATGCAGTAATAAACAAACTCACTGAAATAAAGTTATCATATCAAATACGCTACTTTAAATAAACATCTGAAAAATATTTGAATACTTCTGCTTAGAACTCTCTTTAGAAGATTGATATTTTCTTAACTATCTGGTTGATATGATTTAAGCTTATTATAAAGATCAAGATCGCGTACCTGGCTTTGAGCTACATTTTTCCGAATGTGAGGACTGACGATGTTGTTCAGATAGATAATGGGAGGGTCGACGTACCACTAATTGAAAGCTAAATACTTCACCAGTAAGCTTGCTTGTATATCTGGGATACCTACTTTTTCTCAGCAATCGAATATTTCAACAGGTTACCTTTATTCCCTTTAAATTCACTGTCAACAAGCCCTATGGCTTATTCACGCACATTTACAAAGCAGTACGAACCATTGCAACGAACAGATTGTACGAGATGACCTAATCGAAAACTTCTAAACCTATTACTGATTTAATGCTGTACAGAATATTTTCCTAAAATATTTCAATTAATTTTATATACTTTTAATTGCCTATATTACGTATATGTGCATGTATATTTATTTCTTACGATGGATAAGTGTAAGAGAAACTTGTTGAAATATCGGGCTGAAATTTCTATATTGTATCAAGCAGATACAACTGAGTGAAACCATTATTACTGTTACTATTATTATTAGTAATAGTATTATTATATAACTATACAGACTGAACTTAACTAAACAAATGAATAACGAAAAACGAGTTGTCTATGACTTAATGCGTGTCATAAGAAGCTAGAAAGGTGCTTTACTCCAGTCAATAATTATTAATAAGCAGTTAGTGTTGGAAAGCCTAACTAATAAACAAAATTTCTATACTGTACCAATTTAAAATAGATTACTACGAAAACCTTCCCAAACCCTCCATTGACATCCGAAAGTAAATAACTGTTTTTGAAGATTTCATGAAGCAAATACAAGTTTATGTTTTGATAATATGGACAAAAAACAAAATAATTCATAAAATCCATTATACCACGTGGTGAACGGACTGCTGTAGCAAAAGATACCTCCGTCATGAACTGTGCCATTTGTCGACCAACTGATTCTATCTGCAATGCCAACTCACGTGTAGGTGCCATACACAAGCATTGACAGTAATGTACATCTGTGCTAATACGTGACAACATAGCAAGAAGAAATGTTGCTGTTTTTCCAGTACCAGACTGAGACTGTGCAATCATATTTTGTGGGCTGGGAAAGCAAATAAGAAGGAAATAAATTATGTTACTACATAGTAGTGAGGCAGAGACTTAATGGCTGAAGCATTTAACTTTCAACTAGTAGGTCCCTGGTCCGAACCTCATTACATGTACTTCAGTTTGGACAACGGGGTAATATCACCACCCCTCGTACAAAAAGCCTGGCCTAAAAGTCAGCGCATAAACCTGTTCTCGATAAGCGGAATATTATTACATTAGTAGCATAAGACAGGTTACGTGAAATAAATAAAACCAACCCGTTTCGTGATACTTAACAGTTATGAAACATAGTTGAGGATAGTGTTTAGATTACAGATATTCGACCACAGGTATATTCCAAACATTTTTTCACATGTAACAGCAACGGTAAAGTTAAACACGAAATTTTAGACAAGAAAGCCGTTAAGACTGTGAGTCATGACCAATAAAGGTAGATGGGTCATGCCAAATCAGTATCCACTATGGCTGGAATAAGACTAGGTTTGAAAAAAAAACAATAACGGCTAGAACAAGATGTAGCACCATTACATGAAAGCGATGGGTGTTGGTCTGAATAGTATGATGAGGTGTAGATAGAATGAGGTCCATAGGATAAAGTTCTTTATAGTAAAACCTAAACTGCATACGCCAGAAACCATCAAAATGCTGCAGGTTATTTCACTCATTATGTGTTTCTAACTTTTGAGCATTTTGTTATTTATCATTCACTTCACAAGTATAGAAATCTCAGTGATGTTCGCATTTTTCTTTAAGTATTGTTAAAAATCCTACCAAGCCTCAACTTCGCAGAAATCAAACTACTACGTGTTATTATTGCTATCAACATTTTTAGGATAACTGGATGTAATTTTTGCGAAAAACGGAATGCATCTGCAAAGAATCAGGTGGGCGGTTGAACTGCGTAATGCAATTGTATCGTCTATTTTAAAAACTGGAGTAACTTCGTAAATTAAACTCCACTCACATATGCTTAGATTTTCCATAACAAGTAACTTAACAGACAAAACAGTAATAATGTGTACAGGCTCGGGTTCTATACGTCTTAGTTATAACAACAGTAAGTCAACAAAAGAAAAGATGTGGTGGAAAGCGAAACTGCAATAGAAAGTTGAGAAGTCAAAAAACAAACTACAATTGAAAACAAAATACTTGGAGTTATATACTACACACCCCTACTAATATTTTTTTATTTGAACACAAAAATCGATACAAAGGGGCACCAAATACATATGTGCCACACAATAATATTGAGGCTGTAAAGAAGTAGGGAATGTAAAATGCATATAAATAAAAGGGAAACAACGAACAGAAATTAATGCATGAGAGTGAAATAATAATAAAGAGGCAGTTAGCAAAATACAACCAGAAAGAATTCCTTCAGTTAAAGAAATTACGTTCATTTCTTATGAAGAAAATAAAAGTTACAGCAGGATCGCCACTGGCTTCTTTTCTGAACCATATCTGATAATGTTTCTAGCCACTGAGTTGCACCATCTCCAGGACCCCAACCAGGGAGTCCTGTACAGCTTTCTTTCATACCGCCTGTTATAATCTCTTTCTTACGGTTATGACCCAGCTATTCTTATTGCTTAGTATTTTCGGACACCGATTCACTCGACAAGCCCCAAAATCAGAACACGGTTGAACAGGAAAGAGATTATATTTCAAATAACAAGGTTAAATGGAAGTAAGAAGCATAATAGGTAAAACGTTAGTATATTTATAGTTTTTACACGAGAAGATTCCAGAGTGTTCTCCAAGTATTGACTAGTGCTGATTGGACAAGAATTAGCCAATCAGCGTGAACCGAAGCAATCGTGCATTGAGCATGCTTTAATCCAGTCTGTGTCCCGCTAACACCGCCACAGTCACATAGTGACCATCTCTCCGATCGATTCTAGCTTCTGCAAATAATGCGTGACGTGGAATTTTCTGGGGCGACATTCGTAGGACATGTCCAGGCCACAGAAGTCGATGTTCCAAGACAGTGACACCAACAGAATTATCGTCTCTGCGCCCGAACACACGATGCCGAACCTCTGCATTACTAACATGGTGTTACCACTGGATGTTAGCAATCCTTCGAACAATGGTGATCAAACAGAAAGTCATATAACACCCTCAACTCGGAGGCCAGGTTTCACAAGAATAGAGAGAAACGGCTCTCACCGGCGCGTTGTAGATCCAATCTTTAACAGCCAGACTAACACCACGATTTAGACTGAATGTAAGTGGCCAAATACAACTAAATACCGGTTGCATCACAAGGTTAACAGAAGCCGACTACGTTCTCCTTGAATGTTTCATCCACCAAGTCTGCACCACTAGACATGATCCAAACAAATGCCTGATGGCCCTGTGGACAAGTAACATGTATCAATCTGACCACTAATATATTATACACCATGCAACGTGATACACAAGGTTATGAATAATGTTTACACAAAATGTGCTAAAATCACTACATAAAAGATGGCTTATGACTGATTTATCGCAAATAATGATAGCGTTACTAACTTATCTACAGTAGAGGATTATCGATTAATGTATGTTCATGACTTTATAAACTACGTTTTACATCCACAGGGTAATACGGTTGATTCTTAATATCCAGTACTGAAACTCGTACAATTTAGGTCTGAGAAACAACACTAGTAATATACATGAAAGGCGTTGAATTTATCCATTTTGTACTTTTGTCCCTTTCAGTATATAGACCATACACAGTGGAAAAATTGTTTCATTTGACAACGCACCCGAATGCCCTGGTACGGCCGAGAGTCCAGTTTCTCTCTCTCGAAATGCCCTCACACGCCCATAAGTATAAAGCATCTACCTGGGAAGGCTCCACGTGTTGCCCCCTAAGAAAACCACCAGCTTCGGTTTGGGCACCCGGGCAATATCACAGCCCTCAAGCAAATCAAATGAGATTTGTATAGCGCATATGTATCTGGTGCCTCCTTGTACCAATATCTGTGTCCAAATAAAATAATAATAATAATAAACATGGGTAAAGTACGAAAAAACACTAACATAGTTGACGTCCTTTACTATTAGCTTTCAACATGTTTAAAATGAGCGATCAACATGGTAAATAAGTGAAAAGCTATTTTATAGATGACAAGAGCTTTCGAATTTTTACGAGGTATACTAAGTATCACTAGTGTCTGAACAATCTTCTGCAGAACCAACACCTAAAAACATAAAAACAGACAGGCATGAAGCCTATTAGTTTAACAAAGCTATTCAAGATAGTGAGCAAATTATATCTAGACTAAAAGAGCTGGAATAGCTGCATTCGTTCAGCGTGAGTACAAACTTGCATGTAACAGATGTCATTTAAAAAAATACAAATGATTGTGAATAATAAGATCCGCTTCCATACTTACAACTCATAAAATAATCGGGCATTTTTCATGACAAGTGTACACTACTTATGAACATAGGTGTCAACTGTAAGATTAAGTGAGGCTAGAAAGTAAAAGCAGTGTCGAATAACCCCAACACAATATTAATCAAGGCAAAGCTGTACAAGTTTTGGTTAAAACGTGTGTCCTCCCCCCCCCCATATAAAGCCTGCAAGGCACGTTGAATCAATCACATCCAAACAAAATATCAGTATTTACTTGTCAGATATTAGGCTGCTCAAAGCTCGCTCTTGTATAGTGGATGGTTTGTAAAACCCCATAGCTGCGATACCTTTCAGAAGAGGTTCCTTTCTGCTGTTATAGTTAAGGTACAACATAAAAGCTTACAAGTTTAATTCTTGAAACGTGCGAACGGAATGAAGAGGATGGTTGGGGTCAGACCGCAGGATTTCAAAGTCCAAGTCGTGCGTCTCAAAAAGCTTAGAATTCAGCAACTTGTTGAGGTATGATATCTCCGCCCTGGTGAAAGCTTAAAAATAAAAGAACCACTAAACTGCTTACGTTTTTCATCAGATTCTTGATCGAGTTCAGCACCCTTGCTTTTGCTAATTCGCGATACACTTTCGAAGAGCGCTAACCAGTTTTCGCTCTCCGTAAATGACATAATGGTGTGAAGTGTAAAATAACTTGTTTGACGAAAGTGTCGAAAAAGTAAATAAACGAGCGAAACGTAAATCCGACGAAAACGAGACCAGGACCTTGAGGTGCAATCGTCATTCAGTGTACAATATCTCTCAACATGGCTAGCATAAAACATTGGATCTTTTACACCTTCATGGGAGATGTCCATATTACGGCTGTATCATAACTTCAAACCACGTTGAGCAGTAATACTCATATATTGGTTTCACGCGTAACATAATCCATTGATTATCTCTCGAAATTACACTACTGCTAACATAGACCTGTAGTGACTCACATTTATCACGAGAACACGACTGGTTTAATAAAAACAATTATTATTATAACCAACTGTACCACTGTTTGTTTTAATGTGCTTTTGTTTGACTGTGCTAATTACAGCTATCTTGTGCTTCCATTCATATACTTACACTTTGATTGTAACTTCGCGCGAATTCGGTTACGTTCTGTAACCAAACTTCTATCCTGGCACGATCTCGGTATCCTCTCGATGCCACGAGATCGCCAGCAAATATAACTCGACTTGGTCCACTAACTGCCTTCTGATATTTGGCTTCTCGGGGATTTTATGGATTTATTTGGTTACGTTCAACCTTCGCCTTCTGATTTATTTGGCACGTGTTTCTTGGTAGCGGTGTTCATAGTCAGTCTCGACTCGACGCCACGCTACAGACCATTCTAGTTTCTGGACAGGTCAAGTAAAACTAAGTTACAGACACATATGCATTCAGATCCATATACACTCGAATCACAAACACTTAACCAAATTTACGACAGGCTATTATATAACATTTTCTAACCTTTTTATGTTCATTTGTAACGTTGCAGATTATATTTTCTGATCTATGTTACTGTTGATCCATTTTCATATGTGTACCCTAGTTAGTTATCCAGTTCTTTGATCATTTTCGTGTGTTTGGTCCATGTTTGTCTGTACACTCACTTATCGCACCAATTATCTCTACTTTCATGTCTGTATTTCATGCGCTGTCTATACTCAGATAAAATGACAATTTATACTCGGACGTTTTGGGAAGGCTTCAACTACAACTTTAATTAACATCCAAAACACTTACATACTGCAGTTATCTGAAACCCTACACATGTCCACTTAAGCGTGACATTTTTCTATCTCCCTGTCCATCTCTAGTTATTCTGTCCCTCCAATCACTTAAGCCATCATTAGCGTATCATTCATAAGGTTTCCGGAAATCATCAACATCTGATTCTGCCATAATCAAAGTGACTGACTGACTAGTAGCATTGTCCTTGCTGGAGCAGTGGTGGGCTTGTAGTGACCTTTTTTATCAAGGGAACGCAATTGATGTAATGGAAACAACTATTATTATAACCAATCGTACCAGGGATTGTTTTACCGTACTTGTTTGTTTAACTGTACCAGAATAAATACATTCTTCCTTCCGTTGATTGTGACCTTACGTTTGCTCAGTAGTTCCGCTTGTACACCTTTGGCACGATCTCGGTATTATTTCGATACCACGGGATCGCCAACAAATACATCTCCACTACAGCCACCAGCTGCCTTCTGATATTTGCCCTACGGGGGATCTTATCAGTTAACTGGCACGTAGTCTACCTGTGGTGGTGATTATAGTCAATCGCGACTCGACGTCACACTACAAGCTAACTTCTGAAAAGGTAGTGTTTACCTTTATTTCTAGTTACTGTAGTGTATGTAAACGAATCCATATAAGAGATATTTCAGTAAGAATTCAACATTTGACTCTAACCTTAATAGCTACAAAGAAATCTTACCTCATTCATGATATCATACTCCAGCTCAGCTAAAACGTTTCTTTATCAGCGGAATGGTATTGATATTTATAAAAACTTCGAGGCTGGAGATATACGATTCACCGATTAAGGTCACGGACTAATTGCCAACAGTCTTTCATTCCCACCGACCCGGTGAACAATATTAAATGCTATCCTTTTCTTCGTTTTATTCGTTTGCTTTACGGTTTTTTTCTTAGTTATAAGTGTTTTAATTGAAAAAATATGCTTATTCAAACAAACTTTATGCTATAAGTATTGTTTTGTATGGGTCACATAAAGTTCTTTATACTGTATCGGGGCAGAATGGCTTTGAGTTCTTCGTAATGTGGACTTTAAAGTTCTGACAGTCAAAAAGAGTCAACTTACTAATTTGAACGCTGTGTCGACCCTTCACTATTACTTGGAGTGCTAGTGATTTAATTGTCGTTAACTCAATACCTAAGCTGTCCCTCTACCATTGAACAAACTGTCCTTTTCCTATAGTTGTCGAGAATTATCACTATCGCGATGAACCTTAGAAAATCTTTATTTAGTTTACTGGTGTGTCATGAATGAAGCCTGAATTACGTGGCTTTTCAGGTATCCTGTGTTTTTTGACTAAATGAAAAGAGTGGAAACAGAATTGCCTTCTTCAGATATGATGAAGGCCGACAGAGAACTCAACACAAAATTCCATAGATCACTTGAGTTTGTACTCCTACCCAATTTTTTATAGATTAGTGACTTCATTACTGAAGAGTTTGTGCTTTCAATAATGAAGATCTATAGCTTGGGTGGACGTCGTTGGGGTGTACAGAGACCAATGAACTGGATGGTTTAATTGAACTAGACCTTAGATGGGAAAGACAAATTTATTAGTTGATTCGATGTCCCTCAAAATTTCTTGCAAAGGAATGTCCCTACTATACCATTTAATGTGAGACAGAATAGCGATGATGCAACTTCGACATAAGATCATACAGATTATGCAGTTGTGTTATGACGCGATTATTTAAATGTATAGTTACCAGATCGTGTAAAAAGACCCTGAATTTGTTTTAGTCTGCTAAACAAGTAACTGCCTGTAACCGCTGGCTTTACAAGTAGGACGACTACATATTACGTGTAATAAGCTGGTTATGTTTAGCTCTTCAAAACATCACAATACAGCCCAATAGATTAATAATGAACGGTATTTCAACAGGAAAACCAACTGACAATAATGATTATTAACTAGATTAAAGACGACAATTGTAAAATGTACAATTAAACGAATCTAGAAAAAAACTAGTCAATTGTTAAGCTGACCACTTCGATTTGTAAAGCCCACATACCGCCTCCTCGTCCTGCAATATGCAAATGTACCTGTGAAAGGTAGTAGTTTGACATCCTATCGATAACCAGCCACTAGAATGAAAGCGCTTTAGTAATTTATTTATTTTACGTAGGTATTTTATTGGCAAAATGTTTGTGTTTGAGTTCAACCTGTGCATTATTTGCACCTCTACTTTAATTAACAAACCTTACGATCAGACTCTTAAGGCGTTTTGGTGACTTCACGATACCACGGGGTTATAGAATTAAAGATCTAAAACTTGGTGGATTCTCTTTCATGTGAGTTTTTGTTGTCCTCAATGATGGATTAATCCTCTGACTACTTAGCGTGATTTGCTTTTCTTTGATGTAATAATAATATATTTCTGCAACTGAAGGTAAAAGTCATTTTTACAAGCATGATCTACAAATGACAACATTTGTTGGCTCACAGTATGCTCCTCAAATGGGGTAGTTAAATAGATATGTTCAATAAAAGTGAATAACAGAACATTCATACAGATATATTGAAGCGTTAATGATCAGGTTTATGCTTTAATATTTTCCAAAGTGGCATGGGGCCCACAATACGTACCAGATCCAATCACAGCATAATCGTTTTAGAATTTTGGTCTTGCCAAGTGTTTATGCAATACAACTTTATAAGTTTATGGTTCTTGTAGAGCTCTTGATTTGAACTATGACCTTAAGAAAACGAGTACATCAAGATCGTTCCAGACATCTGAAGTTCCATGGTTGTGCACTCAGAGCAAGATTCTGAAAGAAATCGTAACAGAGGAGCAGCAAGGCACTTGGATATGGGCACTAAACAATGCTTAAGATTTTTGTAGTGCAACAGACAGAGGTATGAAAATTCATTAGATTTAATTCATACTAGCTCTCGTTGCTAGAGTTAAATGTGATTAGAGGCTCCAGATGAGAGAACGCAGTAATAAAGAACAATTAGTTGCGATACTTACCAAGGCGGAGCAGGTTTGAATGGTGGAAGAGAAGTCAAGGTTGGAATATAGATGGCTGTTTGTTCGAAAAGAATGAGCATAAAGATAATAAGGTGTTAAGTAAATTAATAATCACATCTTTTATTGTCTGACTTTTTAGCTCCGATGTCGGCCACACAGTTCTAGTGTAAAAGTCCGAGTGAGTATGTCATAGGTTATTTTTGTAGAGTAGCTAATCCAGCATAAAATTGTAAACATGAGTCTAAATGGTGAGCTCAGAAGAACGACTTCAATATCGCAGACTGATTGACTTGTTCTCATTCATAAAGTCTGACACAAACAAATTATACTGCATCACAAACATGGGTGGATTAAAGTCATTGCCCACAACATCAATGCTTACTGGTCAGTAACTCCACCCTCCCTCTTTTTGTGATTTTTCGCGCATTTAAGCTTATTTCTGGATATATATCATATCTCACACGACGCTATGTTTTTCGCATCCTGTTGGAAAACACTACCATTCTACACGTTAATCAGGCAGTTACAAAAGATGGAGTGTGAGTAAGGCATCGATGCAATGTTTAAGTGAATATGGTAGAAAGTATAGGCTGCCAATCAGAGTATGGGCATTAAGAAGGGTATAATGTAGGATAATTGTTTACCAAACGTATGTAATCCATCTGCCATGCGTATTTCAGGGGGAAGGCTGTTCCATATTAATGCATACTTGATAAGGAAGAAGTTTTCCCGAGTCTGTAATTCGTATTTCTCAACTTTGACCGTAGATGCTTTGTCTCGAAGGTCGTATTCATGTGATTATTGGGTGAGAACCATATTATATGTGGAGGGTTATAAGGAGTCTGAAGTAAAGAATCAAATTGAACCTAGGCCTTCTTTTCTATACGTGATCTAGTTCTATGGTATGGCAAGAACGAACAGTAGTCAACCATAGACCTTACACATACCTTGTAAAGAATGATTTTAGAT